GCTACAGACTAACGAGTCTACTCGGAACGAGATCTCATTCATGGTCGCATTGAGAACGTTGGAAGCTGTATAAATTGACTAAGCAGCGCATGAAACGTTAATGGCTCGGCGATGGGATCTAAATGTTTGCTTCGTCTCTAATAAATGCATATTATGCTTATTATTGGCAAAAGAAAAATTTTATCATAAACAACGTCTGTCTGTTCTCCAACTTACCTCTTCCGGTAGCAGTTGCTTTACTCTCGATATTTCAATTAACCTTTTAAACAGTATAACTGCTGCTTGTTTAATTTCCTGGGCTTCTTCATATGATAATGTCCCTGCTGATACTTGTTGAGAGGGTGATTTCTGAGACGTAACGTTGTCAAAGTTGATAACAGTATCATTGCTGTCCTCGGCCATAATCCAAGCGTCTTTTCACCAATGTGTTAATAAATCCGGTGTTGACGTTTACAAGCTCCAGCCGAGCCTAGTAATTCTCCCATGCATACTGTTGTGTTTGAAGATTATGTAGATACCTCTTGAGCTTTCCGTTGCCATAAAGTTGTTGGATTGCGCGTAAATCATACAACGAATGAGATAGATAATTACAAGTGCATTCTCACGGCCACGATCAATTTCCATGACCGGGTAACGGTAAGCTTGCACGTGACATGACTTTGGATCGTCGCATTTTCTCTGGCATCATACAGGTCAAATCTGGCATTGCACGGAATGGCCTTGCTATCTAACCCAGAAAAAGGTGTAAAGACAATTGCTGATTTGCTCAAAGCTGGCGCTTCACAGGGAGACAAATTTTTTGGTGTTGGGGGTCCAGATAGCTTGTTCACTTGGGTATGTATCGATTTCGCTTCAATCCAGCTTACCAGAAAGGTCGATTAGGAGCATGAATTTTCACCGCATCCAAGTTGAATGCTGACAGTTTGGATCACATGCTGGGCATCAAGTACATACTGTCGAGAGATATCTATCTTTTAACTTGGAGTGGTATTATGATAATTAATTTGTTATGTTGCTTCTAGCTTTAGTGAAAGCGCAATGATGCCAAGCAGCAGCACATATACCTGGCTTTTGTTCCACCTGCGGGAGAGATTTTTGGCTGAACACATTTGACACTAATAGTGATCGGAAGGTCGGACGACCGGTAATGCTGATTACGAGGCGGTCATACGAATGCCACCATGTCTTCATTGAGTGTCTCGACCATTTTAGAAGAGGAGATACACGTAGGTGTTGATGTTCTACTATAAGCTAGCTCCATGCGGGAAATATAGAACGTTTATGTTGTCGATTCGTTGGCTCACCTAAGACTTTGAATTCTGTCTAGGTGTATCATGCGGTTCCCAATTTTAATAAGGTGCACAGTGGGAATCAAAATCTCATGACAGGGCTTGCCAAACGAGTCGGCAAATTTTTCGCAACTCATGTGAATCTCATTCAAGGTGAGTAAAGCAGAGATGTTTTAGGATTATGGTGGGCATGAGGAGTGATTCCATG